CCCTTGTTCCCTTGCATGGTCGACCCTCCATAGCGGTCACCCCTTAGTCGAGCATTACCCGCCCTGATGGTCTATCTGTTAGGGTCATTGGTTCTGTTCGCTCCCAGTTCCCTACCCTCATTGAGCCTGATGACATGTGTTTTCCCCTGTCACTAWDTGTGGAYGCCCTTAGGAGTTTTCGACCCCTAGGCTGCATTCGCCACCCTCAGAGACCATCCCACCCTTTGGTGTGCGTTGCTCTAAGACTGAGGCTACTGCCTCCGACATTTTCTGCTTTTGCTGTTCTTAGGACTTATACACTAGTCAGTTGTTACCAGACTGAGGCTAGTGCCTCCAACATTCTAGGATCTAGTTGTCACTACTTTTTGCTTTCCTAGGACATGTATGTTTGTTAGTGGCTGTTAGCTGTGACATTGCTGTTTTGTGACATTTTATATCCTAGGTTGCATCGCATGGACTCAGCATGGAGCTTGCTCCGCATCCTAGACTACTCAGGTTTTCTTTTCTTTGGTAGAGTTCCGCTTCTTGACGGAAGCATGTTGTATCTAGGCGATCCATCACAGGCCGAGGATTGTGTAGCGGACCTCGGGTTGGCCTGTGAGACCAGCCCCTTGGCCTGTTCTCACAGGCCTGTGTTATATTCGGGGTAGGCCAGTCCAAGCCGGTACCTCTGTCGGTACCAGCCAGTCCAGTCCAGTCCCGTCAGTCCGCTGGGGTATACCCCAGCCATTGTCTGTTTTCAGTCTCATTCCTCACTTGCACATTTTGGAGTACGTGCGTTGGAGTCTTGCGTGGGGAGCTGCGTTGTGCCATCTTGCTACCCCTTCTTCCTCCATCTCCATCTCTGTCACTAGCGGAGCACCACACCTGGTGGGTCCGCTACATTCGCCATTCCTCCTCTGCGCCCACAGGCAGCCCGGCTATGGCCGCCAGCGCCCTGCGCCCAGGCAGCGCCCTACCGCTTAGCGCAGCCTGTCTCTACCTCAGCCTAGCGCAGCCCAGCACCTCGCATTCGCGCAGCGTGCCGGCATTGCCCGCAATGGCCAAGCTCCCTGCCCACTCGCCCTCCCTGCCTATATGCCAGTGCTGTGTGTGGGCGGCCTCCCTTGAGCCTGCGCCTGGGCCCCAGTACCTGTACCCAGGCCCAATGCGGTTGGGGCCCAGGAGATGCAGTTGTGCCTCTTTCATCAAGGCCTGCGGCCAGATTCAGATAGTGGACCGGTTTCCCATTGGCRTTTTCGGCCTCTATATCCAGCATGCATTGTCGGCCTCACGTTTATGTGCCCAGGGCCTAACCAACTCTGGGGCCCTGGGATTTCTGCATTTGCAGAGCTCCGATACTCGGTGCACTCCAACCAACTGGCGTGCTGCAACTGTATGGACCCCACTTCGTGAAATGTTTGCACAGAGGGCTCTTGTTGATTTGCGGGCCCGCCTTCACTTAGGGTGGGCACGAGGCTTGCTGGGGCCTTAGCCCAGAACATGTACATCATGGCAAGGGCCCTTTTTGAGGGCTCAATCCTCACACTGGGTAAGTTTGTACTGTCAACTTGTGTGAAGCTTCTCCCCCGCTCCCCCCGCTCCCCCCGCTCATGGTTTGGAGTAGATCGCAGATACTATCCTCTATAAAATTTCCTCCGTTCTTAAAAAACTTTGGACTGAGGGGAAGCAAAGGAGAAGGAAAGGTCATTCAAGAAGTTGTACAATATGCGAGGCTTTACTCTCGTGGAGGGCATAATGTGCATACAATGATCACTGTCATGCAAACTGCATGGCAGCATCACCCTTCTGCCACTCATCAGACGGCAAGCAGCAGTCGTCAGCATACACTCGCCATGACTCAACATGCAACGAGATCAAAGCTGTACACATTCATATATATATATATATTTTTTTTTTTTTTATAAAAGAAATATTGGACCATTTCCCGATTTATGCGTGTCATCCTTGCGCAGGGGCCATGCTAATCTTCTCTGTATCGTTCCAATTTTAACAGATATCAATTCGAAAAGAAGAAAGAACACGTTAAGAAGTGAAAAACACGTTAAAGTTAACTGTGTCATCGTGCAACCACGCGATCAAGCAAGGACACGACATCCCGTGTTTGCAGCATAGCTGCGATAGCAACGTTCCGCCTCCTCTGTATAGTCGCAGTATAACTACGACCATTCATACCAACCCCACTCGTACCGTCACCGTCCCGAAAGGAAAGGAAAACGACCTTATACGCAGACTGCAGTGGCTTTAGCACACACACACACACACACACACAAAACACACAGAGAGAGAGAGAGAGAGAGAGAGAGAGAGAGAGAGAGAGAGAGAGAGAGAGAGAGAGAGAGAGAGAGAGANGAGAGAGAGAGAGAGAGAGAGAGAGAGAGAGAGAGAGAGAGAGAGAGAGAGAGAGAGAGAGAGAGAGAGAGAGGGAGGGGGGGGGGGGGGGGGGGAGGGGGGGGGGGGGGGGGGGGAGGGGGGGGGGGGAGGGGGAGGGAAGGGGGCAGTTCAATTGGGCAGGTTTAGGGGAACACCATGATTGTTTAACTCGAGGACAATTAGAATCTCCTGCTCCATATGTAAATATATTGATGTGAAGGGTTATGTTCAAATAGGCAGGAGAACCTCTTGATCCGACTGAAAATATATATTGAAAGATGATGAAGTTGCCAAGACTACCTACTACCTACCGTCTTCCCCCGAACATAACGCACCCTAAAAACGAATGTATACGAGTTGTATTTCCGGCCAGATACAGCCAAAATGAGGGTGCGTTGTGTTCGGGGGAAGACGGTAGGTTTTTGAACATTATCCTTGGCATGCGTCTCCTGACGTTTGCGCAAGTTGAGAGATTGGTGGTCATTTTCCTCCGGGTGCATCTCTTCAACTTCGGCGAATTGAGAAATGGCGGGTTGATAGTGAGCGGAGCATCAGGAACAGGGGACCAATTAGCGGCAGGCACTTCCCCCTCCTCCCTCCCCTTTTTCTTCTTCTTCTTCTTTCTTTTGAAACATCCCTCCTCCCTCACCTTTCCCCCTCCCCCCGGCAAAAACAGAACAAAAGAACCACTTCTCTTACGCTGCTTACGCAAAGTCAATAAACTGTAACTTGGAACCTTCAAGTTTCAACAAGGACTAGAGTACGATGGACACGTGGCATGTAAAAAAAGCAAAAAAAAAAAAAAAAAAAAAAAAAAAAAAAAACATGCAATTTCACTTGTGTTGTTTAAAAATATTTTTTTTTGTTTTTTTTTTTTTTTTTTTTTTTTTTTTTTAATGTTACATCGTATCGACCAGCACAGGACGGATCTAAAACGTTGGACGGATCTAAAACGTTTGCAAAACTAACCGCCCACCAGTCAATATCAGTGGCCATACAGCAAAAAAAAGACTAACATAAAAATAGGAAAGTCAGAGGCCATACAGCCAAGTAGCCAATTAAAGAATAATATACAATGAGAAACAAGTGACAAAGAAAAAAAAAAAAAAAAAAAAAAAAAAAAAAAAAAAAAAAAGAAACTAATGACAACGTTCCCAACATAGCAAGGAAGGAAGTAGCCACCAAACAAGCTCAGTCATGCTCATGTGGAAGAAGGTGCCAATTGATTGCTAGATGAAGAGATTTTTGAAGTAGGTAGCCATAGCAGCAGCCGGCGGCCGGTTGCTCAACTGCAGAAAGATAAATATGCCGGCGTCTTGTTCAGAGGGGCAGTCTTAACTGGAGGCACCGGAATTGACCAATTCCGGAGCCGGAGCTTTTGTTGGACCTGTGCAACAAAAAAGAAGAAACTTTCATTGCGAATAACCCTGTCCATGAAGGAGTTTGTTGATGCCAACATGAATGAACTCTTCTGTTATATTCCACGCGGAGTTGTTGCTGTCGCATGGATGACCTCTTTTGGTGTCCCGCTGTCGTAGAGAGAGTCTGAGAGACCCCTTTCCAGTTCAAGCGGCATGCGACCTCGTTGAAAGGACACAGCATCATCCCATTGGAACGAGGAGGACTTCCCCTGAAGTTCTACTTTTTCATTTCATTTTATTTTATTTTGTCCCTAGCAAAAAAAATATTTTTACATAAAAAGCTGGGAAACGGGCCCAGCGTCCCTTCTTATAATGTACAGGTGCCTCAGAGAGAAGGGGACCAGGCACTTGGGCTTGGGCCAAAATCCAGACGTTCCACTTTCAAGTCCAAGTGGTATATATACGACTTCTTTGAAAGTGTACTCCACCTTCCCGGCCCGCTTCTTGGAAGGTACCCACACAGCAAGGGCCACAACAAAGTTCGCAAACTGCGGGGGGGTGCCAAAGGAGCTGATGAGAAAATAATAATATAATAACAGTACGCAGCGGATGCCATGCTGCTGCTGTTAGTGTGTAGTCGACGGCTCTCGAAGGTCTCCGATGAGGCGATGAGCCGTGTTGATGACATCATCAAGCTCCTCTCTAAACCGTTGGATTTCCACATTTTTGGCTTTGATTGTGTTTGCCAGTTGACTCCTGAGCAGCTCGGACTCTTTCTCGCCCATTTTTTGTGTCTCCATAATCATCTGTTTCCACCTCATTTCGCCCTGTTTCAGATCTGCTTGCATTTGCCTCAGCTGCTCTCGCAACGCTTGTACCTAAAACCATGCAACATTTGCCAAATCACCCCTGCATAAGAAAGAAGATCTCGTATTCGCACATCCAAACTGCACATTTGCCAAATCACCCCTGCATAAGAAAGAAGA